TGCACCCGAGAGTTCGAAAAGGCTTCATGTGGAAGAGGGGTGAGCTGAGTCTCGTTCTCCTGGTGATCCCAGGGGAGAGTCAAGGGGCCCACACTGTAGTTCAGTGATGAAACTTTCTGACCCTCGGTTTTCTCATCTGTCAGATGAGGGATTGAAAATGTCCAGACCCTTCCAAGTCCTAAAACCAGATCACTCTACTGAGATAAGCTTTAAAACTGCTGAAGATATGATCTGTATGGAAGTTAAGGTGAAATAGTAGGAAAGGTTTGACTCTTCTTTATTTTACTCGGCAAAAGACTTGGTTAACCTGGCTTCAGACTTTCTTTCCCAGCTACTTCTGCTGCAAGAACGAAGCGAGTCTAAGCAAAAACTGAAAAGCGGGGAGAAGTTCAAGGGGCTTGGGCTTCAAAATATTCGAGATCTAGGTCTTATCAGATCCAGGAACAACATTTTACACAGCAGTCGTAATATCAAAGAGCAGATCCCAGTAACTTCCTCAAGTTTTATCTTCTTCAGAAGTGGACTGGGTTTGGTTTGCTTTGTTCTTGGAAGCCTCCTCAAAATTCTCCACGAGATCTGGGAGATAATCCTTATGATCATCCTCCTCTCCGGCAGCGAGGGGTGCTTTTCCACGCACAGATGACCTGGGCAGGGCCTCAGCCAGTCTTCTTCAACCATTCAGACGGCTGGCACCACGCTGGCTGAAGACCCGGCTCGCACTTCTGTCAGCTGTTTTGTGTCAGCATGGCCTCTGAGGGCGCAAGCATTCACTGCCTGGGATGGCCACACGTTAGGGCTGCGAGAGTGGACCGCTCACTGTTCCTTGGCTCGGGAACACATTCAACTCTTCGATATGATCTTGTTTACCCCTATCTTCTTGAAGGAGAGTTGAAATTTTGGTGTGTTTTTTTTTTTTTTAACCATCTGCTGTAGTTGTTCCATGAAGCGTCTCCGTTAGGCGAGCAGTTGCCTTCCCACCAATGCGCACTTGTGCCTAACCATTGGGCGAGTTTCTCCTGGTTTGTGCTACTTTCTTTGCTCTTGTTGGAGTGGAACTGGGACCGTGCTGGGGACTGGGGCTGCTGCTCAGGGGGTCTCCGGCAGACCAGCTGGGATTAGGTGCACACACACAAGGACACCTATAAAAGGTTTTCCTAATGAGCCCAACAAACTGACCTACATTTTGGTAGGTCATTCCTACCTTACTTACTTATGTTACTACATTACTTCCTCGTGTCAATCATAAGAAAACAGCACTTAAGTCTTAAGAGCCTCTTATACTTGTTTTCTCCCATTCAGTTGCCTGTTTGTAGGTGTGTGTACGGCTCCCCAGCTGAACTCCTTAAAAAGAACGCCATACTCACTTTATGAATACTCAACACTCCGTGTAATAAAATACATTTCAGTGTATTTTATTTTCAAGGTATACTTTATAAACATCATTTTATTACCTGTCATAAATATGCCAGTTACTTTGCATTAGGACAATTACAAGTGGACCCGATTCAACTGAAGTGGGGGGGCGGCAGGCCCCCGCCCCTGGGGAGGATCAGAGCCCAGCTCACGATGCCGGGGCTCTCGCCCACCTGTGCTCCTGCTCTCTCACCATCTATTGGTAGGTGAGAACCTGCCCTCCCCAGGAAGGCTCCAAACACTGGAAAAGGAAGAGACTGCTTAACGGAACATCTTGCTGGAGTTTGCCACTAAAAGCCAAAATGTCAAAGAGAAAAATGGGGTTTAAGGGCTTACTCCTTTCCCTCCTGTGTAGGACTGATTGCTGACTCTCTCCAACAATATCTACCAGAAATGAAAACCAAGTCAACAGTGAATTAATCCATTTTCACCAAAAAAAAAAAAAAGAAAAAAAAAAGGTTTTCATGATTAAAAATTCAAATTTTTTAGTGTTAGACTTTTAAGATAAATGGATTTTGAATGAGTAATCATACCCTAATTACAAAATTACAATATCATTTCTTTCTACAGAGAACAAAGTTAAATATGTCCCTTTTAAATGAGAAAAATAAATTTTAAACTCAGCACAGCAAGAATTATCCAATAAATAGAAAGTGATTTTTCTATTTTCTATTTCCCCCTCATGCTCTAAATGTACATGGAAATGCTTCATACATAGAAAAAAATAATAGCAAATGTTACTTAAAAACTAACCAATTTATAGTTTCAGTATTTCTGATTTTATTTTAAAAAAAAACAAGCTGCAGTTTCAGTACTTCTGATTTATGGGCTAGTAGATGGAGAGTTTGGGTACAAATGGCTGGTAAATTTGGTAAATAAGGTCCATTTGTATATACCTGTAAGAAATTATATCATAAAAAACTCATTATTTTCTTAAATATGGGAGAAATGTCTAATCTTAGTAAGTATTCCAGTATTCAATCATAATAAAATGTATCTTTTAACAAGGGAAGCATTATATTGGAAATTCCTTAGATTAAAAACAAGTTTTCTACTACCTTTGCATTACTCTAGAGTGTTTTGTATACACACACACAAACACACACATGCATGCACACACAGACACACAGATCACGTCTCATTAACATAAAAGAGATTAGAAATTTCTATTTTATTTTTGTCATTAAAAAATTTGTGCCATGATCAAATCTTGGCACATGTATGAGTAGCTGAATGTTATAGAAGTGTACCTCAAAAATTAAGTAATAAGCCATTTTCATTTTATTTATTTATTTTTTAAAGTAAACTGCCCCCCCAGCGTGGGGCTTGAATGCACGACCCTGAGATCAAGAGTCGCGTGCTCTACCGACTGAGCCAACCAGGCATCCCAGCCATTTTTGTTTTAACAATATTTATTACAAATCACGTTTTATAAACACTGAATATAAATTACATACAAAAGCTAGACAGAAATATACAGAAGCAAAAACAGCAGTACTAATAACACAAGAGAAATAAGCTAATGTTTAAACATGTATAACTTGATAAAATTACTAATTTGTCCTTGCTAATAAATGTTCATGATTTCAAAAGCTACTAAAAAAATGAAATGTAGTGCAATTACTATCAAAGTTTGGAATTATAGAAACAACAAACTTAGCACTACTTATTTTTAAAAATCTTTTCAAACATTCAGAAGCCAAATGACTTTAATTTAAAGACAAATTAAACTCGGGTAAAAGCTCTTATCCAACTGAAGAATATAAAAGTTTTAGGCTTTGGTTGGTTAATAGATACTAAATTTAGTGGGTATTTTAAAATTAACATCTCCCTTATATGTTGTATTCCTGAGTTTTTTGCTAAAATACTATAGATAAAATAAAGAACTCAGTTTACAGCTTTTTGTAACATTGTATTTATTTTTGAAAAACATAAAGTACAGCAATTACTTTTAGTGTGAATAATGGGGTTTAATAATGTAATCAAAATCAGAAGGAATATATTTAATTTAGCTTAACGGTGAGAAAAATTAATGCCCTCTGACCACTAATTGCAAAGCTTATTTGTAAATCATGATTAAAATTATGTTAAATCTGTCACCAAGTTTTATTTGCATCTCATGAAACCATTCTGATTTAAAGAAGAGGTTGATTATGTAGCATAGAGTGCTCTTAAAAAAGACTGAAATGATACAAAGCTAATGGTTAGCACGAAGCCAGACACAGGGTAGGTAGTCAATTTTCCTTATTAAAGTGAAAAGTCTTTGAATGCATTATTTCTGAACATCAACACACAGTTCAATATAGTAGTTATAAATTAATCTGATATATTCAAAAGCAGTTTACACATGAAAATACATTTTCAGTAACAATCATAAGAAGGATTTCTATAAGTGGCTATCTTCAGTCTTGGTTTTACCAAAATAGATTTAAATTTAAGGTTCCTTTAAAAAATAGACCTATGAAAGCTAATTTCCTATTAGCTGCTACATACGATGTACATGGCAGGTTCAGTCCCTTCTCTCCAGATCGCCCAATGAACATCTTCTGAGCTGATTACTTTAGGTTACAACAAACTCCTTACAACCAGGTTCCCCCTGGAGAATGAATCAGTGTATCTGGGGACTGGTTCCAAGGATGTGGATTATTTTAAATAAGTAGCTCTCCCTTGATTCCTGGCAAATTATCACAGTCAGCTTGATTTGGGAAATAATGCTTTAAAGCAGCCAAAAACAATTTCATCACGCTTGAACATTACTTGATGAATGGTATATCTGCTGGAAATCAAATTTCTCTAGTTTTTTAAAAAAATATCTGCCTAGCTTATCATCATGCCTAAGCATTTCATGACATTTAAATGTCACAAGATTTTGTTCTCATTCTCCTGATAAACCACAAGAGCTGGTGATTTCACCTTTCTGAAACCTGCCGGTGATCAGGCTTCTATACTTTTAAGTACTGCATACACCTTTTCTTACCAGGAAGCAGAAGAGTCACCTAGCAGTTGCGTTAAAAAAAAAAAAACTAAACGGTGTGGAATTTATTCACATAATCGTACTACTCACAAAGTAGTCTTTAAACAGCTATACCAACATCAGTTAGTAGAGTTAATTGCAAAACTGGTTATCAAATCCCTATTAATTAAAAAAATTCAATTTACAAAGTATTATATCAATTCTGCGTACAAAATCTCATTTGCCACATTATGCAACTAGGAAGCAATTACTTAATTGGCTATGTATACACGAAAAAAATGTGCAGAGGTTCATTCTAAATGATTGGCTAGTAACAAATCTCTCGATAAAAAAAGAAAAGCAGCAATGGAATGTATTCTCAAACAATATGGAGCACTGAGGAGATTTTAAATTCTTAGAGAATTGAAAGAAAAATTATGATTAAACTCATGACCTGCAAGTCACTTCTATGTTCTAATAATGATATCATAAGCAGAGAAACAAAACCGCAACCTTATTGAAGTAGGTTAAATAGTTTCTAAGCTGATTAAAACCACTGAATTTAAAATGAACTTTTTTTTTTTTTTTTTGGGTAGGCTCCATGCCCGACACAGAGCTTGAACTCACAACCCTGAGATCAAGAATCCTATGCTCTACCGACTGAGCCAACCATGTATCCCAATACAATTTTTGAACCTGAAGTAAATGATGCAGTATTCAACCATTTACTAAAAAATAATCATTAACAGTTTCATCATTAGTAAAAACCGTTGCTAATACACAAATTAAAAAGTGCTTAATACCAGTCCTTGGTTCCACATTGCACTTCATATTCCCATCTGTATGTCAGCAAAGTTGTAGAAGCTGTCTACATCTCCAGATGCTGTCTCCTTGCTTTCTGATACAAACATCTATTTTAAATACAAAAGAAGCAAAAAATAAATACCAGTAATCCCCAAATTTCAAAGCCCGTGTTGTCCACAGAATAATGACAAGCTTCCTATTAAAAGAAATTCAAGTACACCACTTATATAATATTTAATCATATTCTGTAGAATCTAAACAATATAGTTTCAGTAGCCACAATATAAACTGAGCTCATTTAAAAGAACTTAGGATATAATCAAGGTCTTTGCTTTCATAATATTTCTGTTACACTTAATCACACTTGGAATTTTACTGTTTTTTAAGTATACGAGAGTCAATATTATGAAAGCTACTGAATAGAGAAGTTTATTTAAAGACTTCTTAGTTTCTTCTATTTCCTAATAACAATCTCATTAGGCTGAGAAGCAAGACTTGAGGTTATCATTTTTAAAGCTGCTAAAGATGTATTACTAGTTTTAAATGAACTATCTGCTAAACATGAAAGCAGTACTCAGTAGAACCCTTCAAAAATTGTTTTTACACATGTCAGCCACGAATTAGAGGAGACCTGGACTCTCTTCTAGCTTTATCGTAAACTAGCTGTGTGATGCTGACAATTCATTCACTGAACCTCTCTGGGCTCACTTTCCACACTTGTAAAACGAGAACATTGGATTAGATAATCTTTAACTCATTCAGATTTAAAATCTCCAAATCACAGAACCGTTTTCTCTTTGCTTCCTTTCCTATTCAACCTATCACATTTGCCCTTTCCCATAGTACTGTTGTGATGATAAAATGAGACAAAAGGCAAAGTACTTTAAATTATGCAAATGTAAGAAACTATTAGCCAAGTCAGACAACAAAACCAGAAATTTTATCTCAGATATTTATCCAAAAAATTATTAGTTATATCTATACTCATTCAGTACTCATATGTTTGGCTGTTAAGTTATATTAAGTTATTTAAGTCTGAAATTCTTAGATACACCAACCCCAACCACATATCTAGAAACTACCTATATGTGATGACTTCTTGATAGAGCTCAAATTCATTTTTTTTTTAATGGGCTCTGTGCTGTTCTCAAAACCGTGAGATCAAGACCTGAGCTGAGATCAAGAACTGGACACTGAACTGACTGAGCCACCCAGGCGCCCCCCCCAGTTTCAATGTTTGATGAAGCATTACTGAAGCAAATAAAAATGAACAGTGGGCAAGAGGATCATCCATCTAAGGTACATAATCTTAGAAATATAACATTTTTCAACATACACTAGTTTTCAAAAAAGGAAGAACTTAAAGAGACATTTAATGAGACTTTTTACTTTAGAAACTCATGTCTTATTGGAGGTTTTTAAATGAACAGATTCTTGGGACACCTGGGTGGTTCAGTTAGTAAAGTGCCTGCCTTCAGCTCAGGTGGTAACCTGGGGGTCCTGGGATCAAGCCCCACATTGGGCTCCTTGCTTAGTGGGGAGCCTGCTTCTCCCTCTGCTTGCCATTCCCTCTGCTTGTGCTCTCTCTCTCTCTCTGACAAATAATAAAAAAAATCTTTAAATTAGTAGATTCTTATTTTGTAAATTTTTAAGCAATTAAAATTTTAATTTGGCAAGGAAAAACCAAAGATTAGCTCCCAATTGTTTACCATAGATTCTAAAAATCATGGTCTGTTTTTTTAATTCCAAGCAACTGCAGGGATAAAAGTACTATTTAATTGTAAAGAAAAGGAAATGACATGAAAGGTCTGATTGAAATAGCAATAACCAATAAAATCTTGTACCTTGGTTCCATTGAATATCTCATTGACGATAAGTTGGCATCCTTCTACAGCTCCATCTCCATTAAACTCCAAGGCAATAACGGGACCTATAAGCAAACCCAAGAAGTGTTGTCTGAATATGAATACAAATTATTTACTTATTTATTTAGGAAAGCGTGGGGAGGGGCAGAAGGAGAGGGACACTCTTAAGCAGGCTCCACACCCACTGCAGAGCCCGAAATGGGGCTCAATCTCACCACCCTGAGATCATGACCTGAGCTGAAATCAAGAGTCAGATGCTTAACCAGCTGAGCCACCCAGGTGCCCCCAAATCTATTTTGAAATTTATCTTTTTATTCTTTATATTGTAAAGAATCTCTAGTCTCTTCCCTGGGGTGTAAGAGGAAAAGAAGAAGGAAGTAGACGGATGGGATATGTCACTTTTGCTACTTCTTCCAACTGTAATCATGCAATAAATGAACACAGTCTCATCTTATGATGGGTAGTTTGAGTGTTATTACAGGACTACGGTCACATTTTTAAGTGTTGTAAATAGTCTGACTTCTCTGGTTTTCATCCTACAAAAACCATAAAAAGTCCACTCACTTAGCAGTACAAAAAATAGCTGATAAGATGACAAATAAGATCAAAAGCAATTCAAGTCACCATAAGTAGGTTTTGCTAGGCAGCCCATCTTCCTTGCAATTCTCCTACTTATCAGCCAAGTTCTGGGTCACCGATAATGAAGCTAAACCGAGCAGGAATTGAAGCCAGGCGCCAGAGGTAATGACCATCTGAAAGTAGTTTTCCTGAGTGTGCCTTACAGCAAATTCTAGAACCAAAGACTAAGTTTTTATTCTCTGAATAGGATATTTGTGCCTCCTTTCCTATACATTAATTTGAATACTTTTAAACCACCTGTACTTTAAATTCTAGTGTAAAGATTTATGATTAAGTTCGGCTTAGATTTAAATATAGCATTGCTACTACTGGTGTCAAGTTGTTGGTAAATGTGGCCATAAGTTAGCTAAGCAAAATATGTCCTTCAATTCAATTAATATTTATTCAGTTATCACTATATTCCTTAACAGATTTGCTTTTTAACTTCTAAAGTAATGCATATATCCTAACCTCTAGAAAATGATTAATTTCTTGAAAAAAGACATAAGCCCAGGGGTGCCTGGGTGGCTCAGTGTGTTGAAGCCTCTGCCTTCAGCTCGGGTCATGATCCCAGGGTTCTGGGATCGAGCCCCACATTGGGCTCTCTGCTCGGCAGGGAGCCTGCTTCCTCCTCTCTCACTCTCTGCCTGCCTCTCTGCCTACTTGTGAAATAAATAAAATTAAAAAAAAAGACATAAGCCCATTAAACAAACATGGAGCAACAGAGACTAAGAAGTACTAAGGAATGAAATTCTAAGGTTAAGGAATACGAAATACTAAGTTGAATGTAGGCATGTGCCATAGGACAAGACACAAGAACAAGGGAGAAAGAAAATCACTCTGCACTGGGCACCGAAAGAACTGAGGGTTTGTGATTTAATATAAACAACAAATACAGAAAAGGCATGACATGTACCAGTAAATTGTACAATTAGATACAGAGAACAAAGTATGAGTTTTTCAGGATCACAGTGTACAGATCAAGATAGGTGCTGTATAAAGAAAAGAAGATAACTAGGGAACATTTTCTCAGAAAAATGCATGTTTCTCTGTCTGGGGCGAGAAATGGATAAGATTAACCTGTAATATCTTGTCAAGCCAAAAAGCAAGGAAGCTATCAAAGGCCGATACAGTTGTACCAAAAGGACATAGGATCCAGCTTGAAGGGGCTCCCAATGGCCAAAGATGAGACATGGACATCGGAAGGAATAATGACTGCAGTTTATTAAAACATACTGAATATATAAAAAGTCATGGGCTCAAAATGATATTTAGAAGAGAGAAACAAAATTCACTGGACACCACTGCAGGTTGCTAATGCATCAATTCATTATTCTGAAAACTGATAATTATTTTGTTTATTTATTCGGCTTTTCTGATATGAAGCATATTTCAAGTTAACTGAAGAGCTCTGGTATATAAGAGAAGTTCTGTTAACATCCATTACCATATACAAAGGTAGTGACATGGTTAGAAAATGATCATTTTGCAACTCCTAATAAAATCGTTGGATCCTGGGGTGCCTGGGTGGCTCAGTTGGTTGAGCCTTTGGCTCAGGTCAAGATCCCAGGTTCTGGGATCGAACCCCACATCAGGCTCTCTGCTCAGCAGGGAGCCTGCTTCTCCCTCTTGTACTTCCCCTGTTTGTGTTCTCTTTCTCTGCCAAATAAAGAAAAGAAAAGAAAAATAAATAAAATGAGCAAGGGACAGAAGATTAAGACTGGAATTAAAAAAAAGAAAAAGTTGCTAATAAAAGTAGGGTTTTCAGTTTTTATGAGAGTGGAAAGTTTAAGGTAGAATATAGCATGCTTTTACTCAGGATCACTACAAGGAAATACAACAGATACATTTTTTAAAGTCAAACAGTCAAACATTTATTACTGAAAGTTCCTGTATTCTATAGAGAGAACCTAATCTAGAATTCAGGAACACAATTTGGTGGATTACCCATGCATGTAACTTGGTTCATAGTCATCTTTGTTTGTTCGCTTGTTTAAGTAAGCTCTATGCTCAATATGGGGCTTGAACTCAGGACCCCGAGATCAGGTGTCACATGTTCTACCAACTGAGCCAGCCAGGTGCCCCAACTTGGTTGTTATTCTTTAAATAGAATATGATGAACTTCCAGGAAGTGACCTAATAATTTACCAATATAGAAACACCAACAAAAAAGGCAGACAAGTGTATCAGTTTTGATTAACATGTGTAGATAATCCTAAATTTAAAAAAAAACCCTACAGTAGCTGACAATGCATGTTTTAAGCAGTCCTACTTGTATAATGATGCTGACTACAATTACTGTGATTATATCAAGCTGAACTATGAGGTCAATAAAGATCACTGGTTAACTTTTTTAGAAGTATTTTAGCGTGAACATCTTATCAAATAGTTTGCAGTAGCTTTGGGGCACATGTACCCCAATGTTTACAGCATCAATGTTCACAACAGCCAAAATATAGAAAGAACCCAGAGGTCCATGAACAGATGAATGGATAAAGAAGATGAGGTATGAAATATTAGTCAGCCATCAAAACGGAATGAAATCTTGCTATTTCCCACAGTGTGGTTGGAACTAGAGGCTACTATGCTCAGTGAAATAAGTCAGTCAGAGAAAGACAAATGTCATATGATTTCACTTACATGTGGAATTTAAGAAACAAAGCTGATGAACATAGGGGAAGGGAAGGAAAAATAAAGTAAGGTAAAAATGGAAAGAGGCAAACCATAAGAGACTCTTGACAATAGGGAACAAACAGAGGGTTGCTGGAGGGGAGGTGAGTAGGGGAATGGGGAAACTGGGGGATGGGCATTAAGGAGGGCACTTGATGGGATGAGCACTGGGTGTTGTATGCCACCCATGAATCACTAAATTCTACTCCCAAAACTAATACACTATATGTTAACTAAACTGAATTTAAATTAAAAAAATCTAAATATTTGAGTTGTCATGAAAAACTGAAATTTTGAAGTAAACAAAAAAGATTCCTGGATGTCCTAATACCCTCCTTCTAGATTATCTAACGTGACCTCGGAATAAGTCACTATCACATTTCAATTAGATGACAGCAAAAGCCTCCCAGGTGGTCTCTCTGCTTCCCCTTAGTAAAAGTTACATTTTAAATGGACCATGACATTCCTCTGCTCTAAAACCTCTAGTAAAATATGATCTATATTTTTAATTGTTCTAAAATAAATGAGTATTTCAGATTTTTATTTTCATTGATGTATAGTTCACATAAAGTATTTTATTCATTTCAGGTATAAAAAATAGTGATTCAGCAATCATACACATTATAAAATGGTCACCATAAGTGTAGTTACCATCTGTCACCTTACAAAGTTATTATAATATTAGTGACTATATTCCCTATGCTATACTGATTTTCATGTCTGTGATTATTTTATAACTTGAAGTTTGTACCTCTTTATCCCCTTAAAAATAACTATTTTATTTTTTTTAAAGATTTGTTTATTTTTGAGAGAGAGAGAGAGAGAGAGCAAGTGAGTGCAGGAGTGGGGGAAGGGACAGAGGGAGAGGGAGAGCATCTCAAGCAGACTCTCTGCTAAGCACGGAGCCTGACACAGGGCTCGATCACACAACCCCAAGACCATGACCCAAGCTGAAATCAAGAGTTGGGCGCTCAAAATAACTTTGCCCCGAAAATAACAGATAGTTTAAAACATTAACAAAGCTATAACAAATTAACAAGGTATTTAGGTGTTTATAGCATATATAATAGTAAAATATACAATAATACAGGAATGGCATGGAAGACTTGAGAATATGTTATTAAGTCCTTATATGCAACAGATAAAGTGTTATTCTTAGAAGATGTATTCAAATTATTTAAACATACATACTGCAAAACCTAAGGTGACCATTAAATAAGTTTTAGAAATAGTATAAATAATAATGGAAGAGATTAAATGGAATCATAAAAAATGCCTGATTAAACAGAAGAAGAGGTAACAAGAAACAAATAACAAATGGAACAAAAAGCAGCAAGATGGTAGATGTTCGTGAAGGCATATCATAGTCAAATTCACAAAATACACAGACAAGGAAAGAATCCTACAAACAGAAAACAAGGGAAAAAAGGGAATACAGATCAGGTTCTTAGCACACCTGTCCACAGATAGGTAGGCCAGAAGATAATGGCAGGAAATATTCAACTTGCTCAATGGTAAAAAATATGCAGCCCAAAATTCTTTATCCAGCAAGGCTGTCATTCGGATAAGAGAGAGAAACTTTCCCAAATAAAAACTAAAGGAGTTTGTGACCACTAAACCAACTCTGTGAGAAATTTTAAGGGGGGACTCTTCGAGTGGAGGGGAAAAAAACCCCTAAAAGCAACAAAGACTAGAAAAGACCAGAGAACAACACCAGAAACCCCAACTCTACAGGTAACACAGTAACATTAAATTCATATCTTTCAACAATCACTCT